ACATGAGTTTGTTCTTTGTTTTGTGTGTTATTGCGGTACCCCGTGCCATCGTTTTGTTTTCTATATCTTATATAGTTAGTGTATCTTATTTACCATTCGAATCACGCGTACGACGAGCTTCTTTCACCTTTTCCAAAGCAAACGCGAAGGAATTCGACGAAATCGGCGGCGGCAAATGCTCTTTCTTTCTTGGCGCCAAACGGAACAATTGGACGCACCGTGGAAATTCAGAGACGGAAATAAAATTCGGAAGTTATATAGAAAATATATGCTTCGCACCTGGTATAAGCATGAAGTCATTTACTTAATTATTAACTAAAAGAGATAATAGTTCGTGTACTTAATTATTAACTAAAAGAGATAATCGCCCTTGGAATCCCTTCGCGCGGAAGAAGCATAACTTACTTATATACGCGTCTGAACACAATATAAGTTTTAAGTTAACTATTTCTTATTTCGAGTGAAATTTATTCAGTAGACGTTTTGCCGAAGGATGTTGTTTTATTGAACTACATATAGCCCGGCCAAATTAAACCTAAAAAAATCTGTTCACATACACATACACACACACATACAGCATTTTCCAAATTTGGTCTCATTCGATTTAGAATGGCTTAAAACGTCAAGAAAACATAAAATTAGCGAATCAGATTTTTTCATGTGAACATAAACTTCCCATCCGGAAAGTTAATCAGGGTATACAAACTAGCTGTAAGTGAAATTCTGTCTTAAGGCAATTAGGGCATCGTGCCTTAAGGCAAATTGCTGGAACTTCCCGTACCAAAAATTATTATTTTTTTTAAAAACGATTAACATTTTTGAAAAAAAAAATACTTTGAAAAAATAAGATTTTTGAGAAACTATAAATTGGACAAAAAATTATTTTTTTTTGAAAAAAAAAATTTTTTTTGAAAACAAATTTTTTTTAAAAAACAATTTTTTTTTTGAAAAAACATTTTTTTTTCTTTATTTTGACATATTTTGGAAGTTCTGAATTTTTTTTCAAAGCAATCGTACTGCTTGAACTGCATAGAGACAAAATATAAAGCGCGTAAGCGCCGCGTCGCTGTCTAACGGAAAAACAATGGTACGGAACCCATAGGAATGTAAACAAAATTTATACTTATTGTTAAAATCTCTATAAAATATCTGATAATTTGATGTGCATATGTCTAATGTTCATTTTTGACCGCCAAATGGCTCATTTTTTTTTACTTTTTCCTCCATATCTCCAAAGTCGTTGGACCTGCCTTTCCAAAAATTTGAACAGTTCTTCATTTAGTCAATACAAATAAAATGTTTTTTTAATTATTCAAATCGGACGCTCCGTTCTCTTAAAAACTGAGTTACCGTTTTCGGCACTTTTTGCCTCGTATCTTCGAAACGGCTAGACCTGCCTTCGCCAAAAAGTGTTCAAAATGTTTTTTGAATTATATATTAATATAATGAAATTAATATAATAATATAATCAAATATATTCTTCTACAAAAATTTGTATTCGAACACACAAACACACACGCACACGTACATCTATTTTTTCTAAGGTATGCCAAAATATTCAGAAACCTCTGAAACGTAAAGATATATAAAAATTTTCATTTTCGATTTTTTGCGATTACTATAACTTGCCCTACGGGAAGTTAAAAAATCTGTTCACATACACATACACACATACATACTTTTCCTTTAAAGGTCTCATTTGATTTAGAATGGCTTAAAACGTCAAGAAAACATAAAATTAGCGAATCAGATTTTTTCATGTAAACATAAACTTCTCATTCGGGAAGTTAATCAGGGTATACAAATTATGTATTTCTTTAAACCAGGACAAGTTTATACTGAAAGTAAAGAAGAAGAAGAAGATGAAGAAAAAGAAGGAGAAATCAAGAAAAACGGTATAAAAAAGATGCAGGTAGAAACATTTGAAAATTATGACTCTTATGAATAAAGTTAGTTTCTTTTTTATAACTACCGCCTTTATTTTTACCAACCCAAATTCACAAATATTATTTTGCAAGTGTTCCGAAACAAACAAAATCACAACAGACCCGTGAAATAGGCCTACTGGGAAAACCATGTAAAAAAACGAGTTAAGCACACTACCTCGTAGGTTTAAACATACTTTTCAAAGTGATATATCTTTAAAACGGTGGCTCTGAGCAAAAAAAAGTATTGATGCATTTTTTGTAGATCATTTTATGCTCTACAATATTGTCTCACGTAATTTTGCGATGACTGACCATTTAGCTTAAAATTGCAAAAAGGTCATTTATTTACCTTTGACCTTGTGCAATTTTTTTTTAGCTCGCTTCGGATCGATGAGGTTTTTTGAGATTACTTTTATCATTGTATTTTAAACAATTTTGCCAAGTTACAGCCCATTATGAATTATAGTAACCTTGATGCGTAAATTGATCGGCTAACAAACAATTTCATAAACAAACGCAATGGCATTACATCCCTTTATGTTACAGTTAGTTTTATCTTCTGATATGTTAAAAATCTAATTCAAAATTATAGTACTGTTTATTTTATATGTTCGATAGGTCGAAAATAGAGATGTAAATCGAGTTATTTTTATATCGAGTGCAATTAGATTTTACAATCCACCTTTTACAACTTTGCCAAGGTAAAGTTTTGACTTTTATTACGGCAATGACACAATTGCCATCGACATAACTATTTTGGGTCGATAAAGGAAT